CGGGTGGCACGTGTGTCCCGCTGCTAGTTAGTGTTAGTTAATGCTCTTTGCATCTTCACAGCGCCGTATAAACACCCCTGCCTGCAACGTGTTGATCTGTGGGTGATGGAAGAGCCAAGCAGGAGAGAGATGTTCAGCACAGCCTTCCCAGGGAAGTGCACCAGAGATGGAGCTGGAGCTGGCACGTGGGGTATCTTGACTGGAAACCCAAGCTCAGCCTGCTCTGCTTTTATTGCTGCAAAGGACAGCAGATTTTATTTCCAGAAAGGTGCTTCTGTTATGTTTCTTCCTTATATTTTAAAGTAACAATGCTTGGGTGTTGGCAAAGAGTTTGCTCTGTAGGTGACACATTTAATTCCACCAGGCAGGACAGAATGGGATGTACCTGGGGCTGGGTGACTAAATCTAACCTTCCACTCCTGATGCACCCGACAGTCCCTGTAACACAGCCTGGAAACTGTCTCATCCTCTTCACTGATACTGCAGACTAGGCAGAAATGCTGTTTAGGCCAGGCCAGGCACAGAGGTTTTTTGTCTTTAAGTGAGCAGAGACACCTGTGACTGCATTTTGTGTATAGTTTATTCATCGTTAACCTAGCTGGGAGGGTAAAAAAGACAAATGTCTGGCTGCAAACTACAGCAAAGTAGTGGGTGTCACAATTTCGAAGGAGCCATTTTTGTTGTGAGCCCAAATTAGGCATTTGAGGTCAGCAGACTAACTGAGGCTTAGGGATGCTGCGGTGTTAATCTAGGAAAATGTGAAGTGAAGGACCAAGGGGTCCAATTCCCTTCAGTTGTGTCTCAGGTGTGTCAGTACTTGGGTGATGAAATGCTGCTGAACAGCCATGGTTTCTCACAAGCCTCAGATCTGCATGTTTTGGAGCAGTGAGGAGCCACAGGGTGAGGATGCACAAGGAGGCACCAGCAGGAGGCCAAGAATGGCCAGACAGTCAGCCCTGGCTTAACATCCATTCCTGTCCTGCCTTGGTGGGTGCTGATGGGTGGCACAGTATTTTACACATCTCTGGGCCTTGCTCTCAGTGCGTCTGGTTGTATTTTCTTTGAGAAGCTGCAGGTCAGATCAGCTGACAGATGCTGGAGCCCTTTGTGCTGGGCATTAGAAATATACGTGCCATAAATATCAGGGCATCACTAGAGCTGCATTCTGGAGGAAGACACCCCTGCAGGCTACCTGCTCTAGCCCACAGGGTTAGTGTAACATTTTTGTGCCACTTGAAGCGAGCTCTGCCGCATCAGGTGAAGCCATTCATGATAACCTCATGCATGTTAATGGAAATGTCAACTGCAGTCCAGTAAAAGAAAATGTCCCTTAGGTACCTGCTCTCACACCTTAGCATTTGCCCATGCACGGTGGTTCCTGAAGGAGATTTTGGAAGACCCATTGGCTTATCTATATGGTTCTTTCCAGATTAAACCCACCCTGCTGTCTGCTGGCAGGGATGTGTACAGGCACTGCTTTCTCCTACATGGAGAGTGGGAGTTTGACTTTGCTAGAGCAGGAAGCTCTGTCCTGCCAGAGGCTGGTGATCCCACATGTGGTATAAATCACACTTTAGCTGAGGAGCAGCATGGTTTTAACAGAGATAATGGGATCAGTGTCTTATTGCATGTGTTTTCCTGCAAGTCCATACATAGAGCAGTATAGTGCTTTGTAGAATTATTTTGTTTTTAAATTCTTTGTAGATCATGAGTGATCACTAATGCAGCTGTTGTGACAGTGGCAAAAGCAACTCTGGGACACAATCCTGCAACCCTAAGTATTTGCCATACATATTGGAGGCCTGGGTAAGACAAATCCTCATGAGATGGGGCTCTCTGCCACCTGATGCCTCACACACTTCAGTTGGAGCTACAGGGTGCCTTAGAAAGGTCTCCAGCTCCCAGAAGAACAACTACAGAGACACAATGTAACTCTGAAAAGTTTTACAGACTACACGGACAACTGTGCTGATATCTGTGTTCTCAGGCTTGAGTCAGTAGGTCACCCAGGCTTTCTGTGGATAATATAATCAGAGCATGGGTTAAAGACATGATGAGCACGGACGAGGTCTATTGAAAATGCTTGAGTAGTTTCTTTCATAAATGGTATAACATCTGTTGTTATTGGAGGCACAAGTTCCTGTCAAAGAGACACGTCATCCTTATAAATATTAATGGTGCATATAAATGGTGGTGGGTGTGAGCTGTGGTGGATGGTGGGTTAATGGGTGAATTGCTCCTTAGGCATCACTTTGCTGTCATCATACTTATTTCTACACTAACAAATAGGAACTGTTTAGGCAGCAAAGCAAGCAAAGAGCTATCTTCCCCCTCCTCCTCTCCCTGGGGTCCCTTAACAAATGAAATGTGTATTGTAATTAGTCTCCTGCCTTGTCTCTGATGAAAATTAGTCTTGCTACAGAACCGAGGTGGAGGGGAGCACGGCTGGAGCTGGAAGAGCTCGGGGTGTAGGTGATAAATGAAGCAAACGGGGGCAGGCTGTTCCCCATCAGCTCTATCCTAGTTGCCTTTAGTGCTATTGATTTCTCTGCTGTTAAAAACAAATGTTTAAGAGGGAAATCGGCTTGAACATCACCTCTGAGCTGCTCTTAGGCTTGAATCTGCTTGTTACTGCAAAATGGTTTTGCTGCCTTGAGTGCTGAGATTCTGTTGCCCCTTTCAAAAAACATAAGGCTTTCCGTCTCCTTTTTTATTTATCAGCAGACTTGGCAGCAATGCTCACGTTCATCAGCTGGGGCACAGCACAACAGTTCATGCCAGGCACAGTGCTAATGAGCAGCATTCAAAAGGCCATGTCCATCCCCAGAAGAGCCCCAAGACTGTGTTTGCAGCCTGTGAAGGCTGGGGTCCCCTTGGACTGGGAGGATGGGCCCTGCTCTCTGCTCTGTCTAAGGTGCTTGTAGCTGTGTTCACCTGCAGG